GGCCTGTACCTGTGTATTCCCACACCTCAAAAATTCCTAATACAAACGTACAGTACTACACCTACACATGTACATGTAGGATACAATCTGCTCAAACCCTTAGCATGGCAGAAGTGTTCGGATCAATGTTTTCATTCCATAGGACAGCTAGGACTGTGCGCATTCCATTTAAGTAACTCGTTTAAACTCGTTTGAAACTCGTTTCTGTACATTTAAAAAAAATGTTAAAAAGCTGTATGTACTATAGTCCCACCAACAAAAGGTCATGTCATATGATGATCGAGTAACCATTAAAAAATTAATATTAACAATGGTATAAGAGTGACACCCCATATAACATGCACAAGTGAGTACATACATGTATATGTACATGTACATGCACGTGTACATCTGGCAGACTAAAGATTCCCGCATCAGCAATGATGCATGATCATTCCTCACTGTCATCCAACTAAAATGCACCCGGCCGTCAGCAACGGAGGCATGCAAGCAGCCAAAAAATTTTGACGCCGTCTCGCAAGCCGCCAACTTGACGAGATTGAAGTGGTCCTCCTATTCATCTTTCCCCATGGCAACCAGACCTAAATGCCATTATCACACCAATTCACAATGGCACAATTGCACGCTACTAATGAAAATGCCTGTGTTACAAAATTGAAAAAAAAAAAAAGTGGAGGGGGGCGAACACATGCATTAGGCCTACTGTAGTGCTACACGTAGGACAACACGTGTGCATGCTGAAGCGGCACATAGTGGTGTGCAAGCATCATGGGTATTGCCAGATTTTTTATGGGGGGGGGGAGGCAGCATAAAAGCAGTAACCAACAGTAAACTGATTAACCATTTATAGTGAAGGAGGGCAATTCCACAGAGTTTTCAAGCAAACGGATGACTTCATGCCCGTTCCTCCTCTTTGTCTTCATTTCTCCCCCCCCCTTTTTTCGTTTCTCCCATTTATCAAGCCCTCCCCCTCCCTTCCTGGTTGCTGCCTAATCCTTACCACTTTAAAACCAAAAGAACGACACCTGGAACCACAGGAAATATTATTGTCACTACAGACACACCGCACAAGTGTCCCATCTTAACACAGTAACTACTTGTTTTCCTGAAAAAAAAAAAAATGTGCTGGGTACAAATGTACGTGTACAATATGTTTTCACTGTGTTACATGTACATATACGTACTCCATTCACTTAATGCCATTTTTTTAAAACCAGAACACAGCTTATGGTACATGTACATGAATAGTACATGTACATTCACCGATGTGACAAATGTCTCCCGAAAAAGTTCACATGTTGACAACTGTGTAATTAAGACATATGGAAACAGACGAAAACCAGTTACATCACCTTACCAGCCATGCAAGCTAAATGTACCGGGCATCTGTGAAAGTGCTGCTCTAGAATCATTAACAATTGTTTATCCTCATGTTGTGCAAATCATGCATGTAGCCCTCAAAAAACTGTACCAACTTTGTGCAGTCCTTTTTGGTTAAAAAGATGGAAAGAGATGGAAAGAGCGAGGTATAATCAGATAATTCAGGGAAAAGTTTGGTATACATGTATATGTATGTACATGATACTGTATATAGCATACCGGAATAGCATACCGGTACCATACGACCTACCGGTACATGTATGTACATGTACAGCATAACATATACATGTACATACATGTACATGTACACTACTTTCAGTTTTGCACAAAATGATGTTAAGTGCACACTTTGGTACTGGACCCAGCTGGGTACTTGTACTGTACGTGAATTATGATTGGAGTGTGTTTCAATCTTCTGAATTGTAGAAGTATTGTTGAAAATATGCATGTACATAACAGCTCACCAGGATTAACATCTCCCAAGATTTCAAACAGTCATAGTGGCAAGAAGCACATCCAATAGAATCAAAATACTGTACATGTGCACTGTACATCTACATGTATTTCCAATTCTGTAAATTGCATATATTTCACATTACTGCCAATTATTTAACTTTTATAAAATATAAATACTATTGCACATGTATAGGTATACATGTGCATGTACCGGTACCCCGTACATTGTACATTACATGAATAAAAAGCCAAAAATGTGAACTGATACAACCCACTGACAAACCCTGGCATACATGTATACATGTACATGTAATTTACCTGTACATGTATTCGTATGGTGCACTGTTCTGCCATAGCAAAAACAAAATAACTTGGCCCAGGCTGAAAGTTGTGTTTACTTGTTTCACGAGCAACGGCAACTTCTGGCAGACGTTGAAAACTGACAAACAAATAAACGAAGCCGTCTTTCCCAATCGGCCGCTCAATTGCCTGAGCGATTCCCCAGGCGCTGGCACTCGTGCACCATTACCTGTCATTGGAGTCAAACTTGATTACTGGCTTAGCCGTTATTGAGTAGGCCGGAAGGGTTTGGAATTGAGTGTGAACGGCGGCTGGACATTTCAGAGCACGCACTCAGCCTGGGTGGGCATTGAAATGGATCCGCAGTTGTTGTAAGTTAACCAGCTTCTCGCTTTACAGTCGGAAGCGTTTGTTGATATTAGAAAGTCAGTCATGGGAAAGAATTTTCCAGTATCAGCGTGGAGAGACAGGATAAAAAAATCACATACAGTCCCCGCAGCCTGACTGATCAGAAAGGATGCATTACATGTATACCGTATGACATACATTATGTAAGTAGAAATTTATTGAGTCTGCTGGACTTTCTACACTACTAATGTCTATAGATAACATACAGGTACCGCACCATTTCGTCCATGCGTGAAAATGTTTTCAACTGGGAGTGATGTCAAAGAAGCAGTAATCATGAGCAATGTGACCCAACCTAATAAATTACAGTTTAATGTTACCCCCAGTTCCTGATATGATACACATCATAGTACTGATGTCGTGATACGTTATGTACATGTACTGTATCCAATGTGTGCATACCAGAATACACAATTCTTGTACAGTACGTACATGTAAATGTACACGAACAAGTATCCTGAACATATATGTTCAATGTACCGGCACATGTACATGTATGTTGTCAAATGTTGTCCATGTACATTTCGTTCTTGACCGGTACATGTACATGTATGCATGTAAATGTAATGAAAACGGTCCATAGGTTGTAAATGCGCCTAACATTTTATCTCATCTTTCTCACATTTACATGTAACACTTTTTTGTAACATTCAATCTGGAGCAACAAGTCCAATATTGACAGTCCAAGTTTATTTCAAGATTTACAAGACATGTTGTCCACAAAGTCAGATTTCTTGTTACTTGAAATAGAGTTCTGTTCATAGAATGTTACTTGAAATAGAGTTTTGTTCATAGAATGTTTATTCACGGCTACGTATCACGATATTGATTTTGTATCACCATAGCGTATTGCAGCATTCTTGTTACCGTTGTTGAGGGCTCTTTACAAGATGAGTAAAAAGCCCTCACGGCTCCTGAGTAAAAAGCCCTCACGGCTCCTGAGTAAAAAGCCCTCATGGCTCCTGAGTAACAAGCCC